TACTTGTTTACTTTTTAGATGGCCAAAATTCAAAAGGTCAGACAATTAGCTGGCCTTTCGGTGTACTGATAACAAATCATTTGTATCTGTCTCTTTCCATTTCAAATTTAACTATATGTGCATGTGTCACGTATTTTGCATACTTGTGTCATTCTAATGTAGGAGCGGCACGTGTTAATTGTGATTGAAAAAAGAATAAAAATAATGCTATGAGTTGCAACTTGCATTAGATGATATGTTAAATGAAATGTGAAATTAAATTCTACTTACCAATTTATGTCACGTCAACACCACCTATACTGAAGTTACAATTCTAGCAAAACTAATAGCATTACCCTTGAAAAAATGCTGTGGGAAAGCAGTTTTGCATTTATGATTGTTTATGAAGTTGATTCGGATTGAGTTGGTTTGTTCATGGCCACGTTTTGGTGGCCCATAGCATAATAGGTGGTGAACTTTTTTCAAGAGGGTTAGGAAAAAGAAAATGACGTTTATTCCGCAGAAAATTTCTGTAGTCATCCTTGATGTGGTGCCAAGTGCATTGAAAGTCTATCTGGCTACTGAATCAATTTACCTGTTGACATTACATGAAAAATAGTTGGCTCACATATTAATTTTATCTTAATATGAGTTGAATATTTGCTAAAACGACATTCTTGTTGGCATGAAAATCATTGTTTTGAAAGTTGGCCAAAGAGATTTGATTAGAAAAATTGGAAATGGGTTTGGTTATAGTATGAGACCATTCTTACTATTTGTTTGTCCTCCATTAAATTATAATTCATTTTTCTCATTTTTCTTATAAACTACACATTTTTTAATAAAATAATATTACACATGAACTCAAAACATTTCCTTCATTTTTTTACTGCACATTCTTCAAAAAATTACTATTAAAATCAAATTTTCATTCTAATGAGAGAATAATTGGGACCAAACGGGAGCTTAAAAAGTCGAGATGATTGCGAAGGGGATTCCTAATTGCAATTTCTTGTTAAAGAAGAAAAAAATGTTTATGGATGATTCAATCTCGAGTTTCGATGCATAATCATAAGTATTTTTGATATTGTAGAGCGAACCTATTTATTAAAGGATTTTTACTTTATATTGACGTGGGACGAAAATACAAACAATCATAAAAGGGTATTGTTTATAAAATACGAATGGTATTTGCTCGTATGTTGCTCGTATGTCGCTCGAACATACGTGATACATATTTGAAATCCACCAAACAATGGGAAAAAATTGAAATATTACTAACCCAGAAAAATGAATGTCTTATTTTTATATTCTTAACGCGTATTTATAGAATCAAAACAAATTATAATCAAAGTGAAACCCAGTGTCTATTAGGGCTGTCTGTGGGTCGGTTCGGTTCGATTCTGAAGAGATCAGAACCGACCCAAAACTTTCGGGTATTTAATAAATGGACCCGTCGGGTCCAAATATAATTATGGAACCGTTCAGGTTCGGTTCCGTTCGATTCGGGTCGGTTCAGTTTCGTACGACAATTAAATTTTTTTAATATTTACAGCGACACTACATAAATATAACTAATGACATTTCATTCGTAACTTTTACAAATTAACGTAGTCCAATTCAAAAACATATAAATAACTAACCGTCCAATAAGATTAATTGAATGCATACAAATACCAAAAAATAGATATTAATATTACAGCAACACTACATAAAGTATATTCATTTGCTTCAAATTAAAATGGGCTAATGTNTTAATCACTAAATTAGTTAATTTGTTTAGAAAAAATTAAAAAAATTAATTAATTCAATATAAAAAATTAAAAAAATTATTTAAATTCGGTTCTTATTTGGTTCTTCAGTTCTGGGTCTAGAACCGAAAATCTAACCAAACCCGTCGGTTCTCGATTCAGATACCCGTTCGGATATTTAATTTATGAAGAATCGCTTGGTTCGGTTTGGTTCGGTTCGGGACTTTTGGACACCCCTAGTGTCTATTGACAAATCCAAATAAGAAACGCGAAAAAAATTCAATTAAAACTAAAAAACTATTAAAATGACAAAAATACTCTTAAACTAAAAAAAATAGTAAAATGCAAAAAAGGGACCCCTAAACGATGGAATTTGATCGTTAAAATTCGAAGGCCATATTGTCACCCGGACAAATTTGTGCAGAATCGAAACACACTTCTAGATTTACTCAGGGATGGAAATTCGACACCTGAGCTGAAAGTTATCTCTTTTCTAATTAGTTTAGATTTTTCTCTTCTAGCTGATCCGCTCCATTCCCTTCCACTTCAAAACAATTCAACCCTGAGTTGTCATCAAGATACAAAAGCTTATTATTTTCTGAAATGTACTCATATAGATCGGCAACATTAAATGCCTTGGAAATCTTCACGTGTTCAGGAAGATCAAGGACATATGCATTGTCATTGATCTTTTGTAGAATCTTGAAAGGCCCATACATCTTTTGATTCAACTTGTCCTGAGTTCCACCACACTATTTCCTCAGGAACACCATAACCATAATCCACATGAAACGTCTTATTGCCGTGTATGTGTATCAGCAGTTACTTTATACGTTGCATTGGAGGCTTCCAGCTTTTTATTCACCTATGCAATTACCTCCACATGTTGTTTGACTAGTTGTTCGGCTGCTTCACTCTTTTTAATATAGTTTGGAAGTCTAACCAAGTCCACTTCTTGTGCGGGAGTCCTCATATAAACAATATCAAAAGGCGATTTACACGTCGAAGAATAAATCGCGCTATTATATGTAGATTTTGCCTGTGCCAAAACAAATCCCACCGTTTCTTCTTTTCACCACAAATGCACTGAAACAGATTCCCTAAGGTTCTATTAACGACTTCAGTTGATCAATGGTCTAAGGATGTGCCGTATTGCTGAGTCTTAATTCTGTCCCAAACTTCTTCCTCAAAGTCGACAAAAAATAATCTAAGAACTTCGGATCTAGATCGAAAGTGATAGATAGTCTAACAATTTCCTAAAAGAATAACTTCGCCACATGTGGTGCGTTGCTAGTGTTACGTAGAGGAATAAAATGTGCAATTTTCGAAAACCTTTCCACCACAACAAAAATAGAATCTGAACTTGATTGTGTATGAGATAGACCCAGCACAAAATCCATAGAAAGATCATCCCATGACTACTCCAGAATAGGCAAAGGCATATACCCTGCAAAGTAGCTCTCCTACTCAAAACATTAGCAACACGATTGGTGGCCACGAATTTGTGTTTTATCACATAATTAAACTGTAAAAAATAAGCAGCCCAACGACACATGCATCTTATTCGTCAAATATCTTTGGTTCTTAAAGTGTACCAAAAAAATTAATGGTTCAAATAGATGACGAATTTTCGTGGTAGCAAATAATGTTCCCAATCCTTCAATGCTCGAAATACTGCATACAACTTCTGCTCATAAGTTGACCACTCTGTTTAGCGTCATTGAATTTTTCACTGAAATATGCTACCGATTTACCATGATGAGAAAGTTCTCCAATTCCAGTGCCATAAGCATCACATTCTATCTAAAAATTTTCTCAAAATTTGGTAGTGCCAAAACGGGAGTAGAAGTCTGTTTCTGCTTGATCTCCTCAAAGCTTTTAGAAGTAGCTTTAGTTCACTTAAACTTCTCTCCCTTTTTTTTTCTTCTTCTAGCATTCCGTTATAAGAACCTACTATAAATCAGAATATCGTTGAAATAAAGAATAACAGTATGCCTAGAAAAGGTTTCAAAACCTGATTCAGTAGCCACATGAAGGTATTATGTGCATTGGAAAGGTCGAAAGGCATAACCAGCCATTTATACAAGCCTTCATTTGTTTTGAAAACAATTTTCCACTAATCCCGGGTGATACCTGCTCTTCAAATTAATCTTTTAAAACACAACAGATCTAGCCAATTGATCCAACATATCGTCCACTTGTCCAGGCTAGGTACGGGAAATTTGTACTGTATAGTAATTTTATCAATAGCTCGACTATCAACATACATCCACCATGATCTATCTTTTTTGGAACTAGTGGTACTGCACACAGACTAATACTTTCCTTGACGTGACCCTTTTGCAACAACTCCTCAACCTTTTCTTGCAAAATTTGACTATCTTTCTGATTCATCCGATAATTGGGCAGTTTGGTAGGTGAGCCCTAAGGACTTAGTCAATCTGATGCTGAATATCTCGCATGAGAGGTAATTTTTCTGGTTTTGCAATCATACCCTGAAACTCCACTAATAGTTTTTTTTTTTTTTACAAATCCAAGACCTTCTTCGATGACTTTTTTCTCTTTGGCTACCAAAGCAAAAATTCCTCTAAACTCCTTTATATCCGATGAAAACTCACTAGCTGAATCTACAATAGCTAGGAAAGCCTTGCCTTCCACTTTAGAAGTTTTTTATATACTCCCTGTTGGAGCAACCATGATCTTCTTATCCTTCACTAAAACGTGTATGTGTTCTCTCTACACTTATGTATGGCATCCACTTTAAATTGTCCAATAGAATATAACATGCATCTATCTCAATAATATCACGAATAATTTCTAATTTGTAAAAGGTCCCCATGGACAATGGTACCCTACAAATTCAAGTCACCTGAATAGACGGGCCCTTTTTAATCCAACCAATCTGATAAGGAGTTGGGCGTGGTTCGGTTGGAAGCTTCAGATAATCTACTAACTTCACAACTGCAACTGTCTATGATTAGACTACATACTGATAGACAAATATCATAGGCTGATATTGTGGGCACACAATTGGTATCTTTCCTATGTGAATTTATTTACCCTTGATACATTCCATGATTCTAGGACATGACTCCAGCAGAGAATCAAGGAATATTATTCCCCTTGTAATGTGTATAAATTAATCTCGTACTCAATGAAATAAATAAGCCATTCTTACAGTATTCTTGGAACTCTTTTATGGTATCAGAGCCATATTGCTTCTAAAGCATATCTGATCCTTAGACTTTCTCATCTTCCTTCCCATACTCAATGGCTGACTCTTCTCCAACCCCAAACTCCTCCACCTCTGAAATTCCAGTGATAATCTCATCTCAACCTAATGCTCTCATTTCAATCAATACAGCCTCACAGATTCCTTTTAAACTCTCAAGAGGAGGAAACTATGCCTCCTGGAGATCACAATTTTCTAACCTTGTTTTTGGTTATGATTTATCAGGCTATATTGATGGCACGTTTCCTTGCCCAGATCAAATGAAAACGCAAGATGGAAACGACGAGCCTTCTTCGAATCTTAAGCGCAAACTCTGGTTACGGCAGGATCGCCTAATCTTGCAGGCTATACAGGTGTCCCTTGCAGGTAACATAGCACCGCTTATCTCCTCGTGCAAGACCTCGGCTGAAGCATGGAACAAACTGGAGACTACCTTCGCGAACCGATCAAACACCAGGATGCTAACTCTTCTCTCCACTCTTATGAGAACATCACAAGAAGGTATCACAATAGCTGAATATATGCAGAATATTAAAACCATTATTGATGATCTCGCTTTGATCGGACATCCTTTAAGTGATGCTGAGATCGTTGCACATACTCTCAACGGTCTTAGCAATGAGTACAAGGATTTGAATGCTGCTATACGGACTCGGGAGACAGCCATGACATTTGAAGAACTTCATGACAAACTCCCAGACCATGAGACATTTCTGAAACGTGAAGAGGGAAAGAAGACAGCCCCACTCATCACAGCTCAGTACAATCAACATCGACCCAACAACAAGAATAGACCAGAGAATGGATACACAAACAATGGCAGAGGACCAAACAACAACTATAGGAATAAAACATTCCAAGGTAGTACACAAGGCAATCAAAATTATCGACCCTCTAATTCTCTCTCATCTGGGAATAATTTTGGCGACAATGTGGGACACTTTACACCAATGCATTCCAACTTACAACAATCTTCATGGAGACCAAACTCAACTTTTCCTGGACAATCCAAAACAATGTGTCAATTGTGTGATAAGATTGGTCACACCGCCAAGGTATGCCGATCTCGCCCCAAGCCCAATCATAATACAAATTGGCCTCAAGCACACTTCACCGGTACTGATCAATCAACAAATCGAGGAAGCTGGATAATGGACTCAGGAGCATCACACCATATTACCTCGGACCTGCAGAACTTATCAGTCCACTCAGAATATGACGGCAATGAGGATGTCATGGTCAGAGACGGTAACGGTATTCCAATATCTCATATTGGTTCTACTCAACTTAATTCTTTGAATATTTCATTTGCTCTCAATAATGTTCTGTGTGCCCCTCACATCAAGAAAAACTTACTGTCTGTTTCCCAATTTTGTAAACAAAACTCCACATCAATTGAATTCTTTCCTGATTTTTTTTCTTGTGAAGGATTTGAATACGGGGGCATCCTTGGTTCGAGGCCAGAATAAAGACAATATCTATGAGTGGCCGTTACCATCATCACCTTCTAGAGTCACCACTCCCACCGCCTACACTACCACAACACCGGCTTCAACAAATCTTTGGCACTGTCGTCTTAGCCACCCTTCTGCGTCTATCCAGCAGAAAATTATCACCAATTCATCTCATCCATTCATGTGCTTTTCCATTAGAAATTTTATATTCCGATGGTTGGGGTCCATCGCCAGTTACTTCGTATGATAACTTCCGGTATTATATAATTTTTGTTGATAATTTTACTAAATAACTTGGTTTTACCCTCTCAAACAGAAATCTGAAGTTCCCGCGATCTTTGATAAATTCAAAAAATTAGTAGAAATTTTTTTCCAAAAAACCATCAAGACTGTGTATTCAGATGGAGGTGGTGAATACCAAAGTCTAGGTCATCACTTATCTAACTATGGTATTCAACATCTCAAGTCACCTCCATACACACCTGAACTTGTTGGTTCCGCCAAAAGAAAACATCGCCACTTAGTTGAAACTGGCATTACCTTACTTCATCAAGCATCCATGCCATTACGTTTTTGGTTAGTTGCTTTTCAAACTACTGTCTATCTCATTAATCGTATGCCTACGCCAATTTTAAAATTTAAATCTCCATTTGAAAAATTGTTTCGCAAACAACCCAATTACCGTAAACTCAAGGTTTTTGGCTGCTTGTGTTACCCTTGGCTTCGCCCGTATACTTCTCATAAACTTCAACCGCGTTCAAAACCGTGTGTTTTTCTGGGCTATTCACTCTCACATAATTCATATATTTGTCTTGATCCTTCCACAAATAAAACATTTATTATCAGACATGTCATCTTTTTTGAATCCCATTTTCCTTTCCAATCAATATCCCCCCAAGATACACGTCTACAAGCTGATTTTCTATCACAATGGTATCCCAAAAATACCTCACAATTACCACTCTCTATTAACTCTGACCTAACAGATTCTCTCAATCCGAAATCCTCCTCAAATACTCCATCATTAACACTTATTTAACCCACAATATCAGGAGCACTCACCACTCCACCCCCACCAATGACTAATTCCGCTTCTACTGATGATGATGGTGCGGCAATATCTGACTTGATGTTGTCCAATTCTACCTCCAACCAATCAGTACCTCCGTCATCATCTCCTGATCAAGTAAGTAATTCTCTTTCTTCATCCTCTTCCAATATCTCTCATTCACCATGTCTTCCAGAACCACAAATGGTAACCAGATCAAAACATAATATTTTTAAACCTCATCAAATTCTTGACCTCCATACAACCACTGTCTCAGTCGCCAATTTCGAACCCACCACACTAAACCAGGCACAAAAATTTCCTCATTGGCGAAAGGCTATGAGTGAGGAGTATGATGCCTTACTTTCTAACCATACTTGGAACCTTGTACCCCCTCACCATTCTCAAAACATTATTGGGTGTAAATGGATCTTCAAGATTAAGAGGAACACTGATGGAACCGTTTCCCGTTATAAGGCTCGACTTGTTGCTAAGGGGTTTCACCAACGCCCCGGTATTGATTTTACTGATACGTTCAGTCCAGTTGTTAAGCCTACAACCATTAGAACCATCTTAAGTATTGCCGTCTCTTACGGTTGGGACTTGCGACAACTCGACGTGAACAATGCCTTTTTGCAAGGTACACTTACTGATGATGTTTACATGCAGCAGCCTCCTGGGTTCCAACATTCCCAATATCCCAATCATGTGTGCAAGCTTAGAAAAGCAATTTATGGATTACGCCAGGCCCGTCGTCCATGGTACAATGAACTCCATCATTTTTTACTCCTTCACGGTTTTATGAACTCGAAATCCGACAGCTCCTTATTCATCTTTCATCAAAACTCTACAATACTCTACTTGCTTGTCTATGTCGATGATATCATAGTCACCGGCAACAAGTCCTCATCCATTCATGAGTTCATTCAACAATTGGCAACCCGATTCTCTCTTAAGGACCTTGGGTCCCTACATTACTTCTTGGATGTTGAGGCTACTTTCACCCCTCATGGTCTGTTTCTATCTCAACAAAAATACATCACTGATCTTTTGACAAAAACAAACATGTTGGATGCCAAGGCAGTCACTACACCTTTGTCTCCTACAGATACCTTGAAACTTCACGATGGTAGTGCCAAAACTGATCCTACTCAGTTTTGACAGGTTCTTGGTTCCCTGCAGTACCTATCCTTAACAAGACCAGATATCTCATTTACCATTAACAAGTTGTCTCAGTTCATGCATTGTCCCTCCTCACATCATTGGACAGCTGTCAAACGATTACTTCGTTATCTAAAGGATACCTCTGCTCATGGCATTTTTCTTCGAAAAGAGACCACTCCTACGCTTCATGCTTTCTCTAACTCTGATTGGGCTAGTAATTCCGATGATCGTACCTCAACCTCCGCTTACCTTACTTTCTTTGGTGCTTCTCCCATCAGTTTGGCCTCCAAAAAGTAGCGTACTGTTGCCCGTGGTTCTACCGAAGCTGAATATAGAGCAATTGCCTCTACTACTGCAGAACTTAATTGGCTCACCAATCTTCTTTAAGAACTCCAAATTGCTGACACCTCGATTCCAACCATCTATTGTGATAATATTGGAGCCACATACTTATGCAAGAATCCAGTTTTCCACTCGCGCATGAAGCATATAGCTATTGACTTCCATTTCGTCCGTGATCAAGTTCTCCATCATCGGCTTCGTGTGTCTTATGTTCATAATAACGATCAGCTCGCTGATTCTCTCACCAAAGCACTTGTTCGGAAGCAATTTCTTCTCCATCGATCCAAGATTGGCATCCGTGATGGAAGCACAATCTTGCAGGGGCATGATAGACAGATATCATAGGCTGATATTGTGGGCACACAATTGGTATCTTTCCTATGTGAATTTATTTACCCTTGATACATTCCATGATTCTGGGACATGATTCCAGCAGAGAATCAAGGAATATTATTCCCCTTGTAATGTGTATAAATTAATCTCGTACTCAATGAAATAAATAAGCCATTCTTACAGTATTCTTGGAACTCTTTTACAAACAACATCATCGACTTGACACTTGGCCTGAAAGATCTACTTGTGCTAAGTCTAACTATTCTTGCTTGGCGAAAATAATATTTTCTGCACGATACATCCAAAATTCCCTTGTTCATTCTCACAAATTTCATCGATATATTCTTCCTCTATCTCTTCCTTGTCTCCGACATATTCATGATCATCATCATCTTCATTAAATGTATCTACTACATGTACTGGTCTTTGTTTAGGACACTCATTCGATTTATTCCGAGCTTTCCGCACTTGTAACATTTCCCAACAGTCAGTTTTGTATATGGATTGTTTGCTACCCGAACAGTTGACTTGTCTCCGGTTAATGCTCGTTTTAGATTCCACTGCATTGCTGACTACAGGTGGGTTAGTCGCAGTCTGGGACAGATGTAACCCTTCTAGTGCTTTTCGAATTGCACCATCTAAAATTTTCCTAAATAGTAGGGGATAGTAGGGGACGCCGTGTTTGCTATGTAAAAAATGATTATACTCAGAATGCTATCTCCAGGGTGTCTCCTAATGAATGAATGGATTGAATTACATTCGTATCCTAATTTTCGTACTTTAATCCTCTTACAAATTGTGCGATTTCATGATCATCATCCTCCATTACATCACAATGGGATTGTAGCCTCAAAAACTCCTCCGCATAGTCAACTATCGAATGACTTTCTTGCCTACAATCCAAAAATTGTCGGTACAAGGCTTGCATATAGTCCTGAGAAAGAAATCGTTGTTGCAACAATTCTTTCATCACGATCTAGTCCCTTATGGGCGGTTGTCTCAGCCTGTAACGTTCATCACATATACTTTGCCACCAGACACTTGCTATTCCTTTAAGTTTGTACTCTACAATTGAAACCTTATATTCTTCACTGACCTCCATAATTTCGAAAAACCTTTTTGGACTGCCTTGTTCAACTGGTCAAGAAAAGTCTTCACATCTAATCTGCTATTGAAAATAGAAATCTTCGCTTTGAACTTTGTAATCATCATCGTCACGAAGACTATGATAATGAACTAAAACCGGAACTGAGGCTGGATATACAGGAGCAACAACCTGAACTTGTTTGATAGGTGGTTGTTGCCTATGATTACCGCCTCCAAGATTCAAGGCATCCAATACGTCCTTGAGTTGATTGCCTAATTCTTGCACTTGATTGCCAACCTCTTGCATATTAGTTTCCATTGCATCAATTCTCGTCTTTAAAGTCTTAATTTGATCATCTGCTATTGGTTTAATACCACCCGACGTAGTATGAAAGCGTAAAAAAAATAAAAAATAAAAGGGTCTTGTTCGTGACACCCGAATGAGTGTTTGCTTGTATTTTGCTCGAACGGACATGATAACTATTTGGAATCCATCAAACAACCAAAAAAAAAAAAAAACTGAAATATTATTAATCAAGAAAATGAATGTCTTCTTTTTACAACCTTAACGCGTATTTATAGACTTAAAACGAATTCTAATAAAAGAAACCCTAAGTCTATGGACAAATTCAAATAAACTAAGAAACGCCAAAATAAATCCAATTAAAACTAAAAAATTATTATGATGACAAAAATACACTTAAACTAACTAAAAACAGAAAAATGGATCCTTAAACGATGGAATTTGACCTTGAAAAATTTTGCATAATCGAAAAGCGCTTCCAAATTGTACTCACTGACGAAAATTCAATACGCAATCAGAAAGTTATGCATGTTTTTGTAAATCCTTCTTATTTTTTCTTTTTTCTAATTGGTTTATGATTTTTTTTTCTTCTAGTTAATTCGCATCATATATTGATCAAAATTAACTTATATTGATCAAAAGTATATGACTTTTGGTTTGACTTTGAACCCTATTATGGAAGGGGTAATTTTCTTTGCTCGAAAATCCAATTAAGAGGATTTTCAAGAGACTCTATTTTTAAATATCATAATTTACAATTTAGAGAGCATTTATAAAAGGATACTTTAAACACTCTCTAAATTAAAATGTTAATTTAATAAGTTTCTTAAAACATAATTTTAAGAATTGACTCTTTAAAATAGAGAACATCACTTGAAGATGCTCTAAGATCTTTACTAAACTATCATAGGATGGATCACTCCATTCAATTACCATTCCTGGACTTCGGTGCATCAACTTATTAAACTACCCTTTGCGCTTTAGGACAAATTTAGGAATTTCATATTGGCATAAAAAACAGTGACTTATCTTATTCCACTTTAATTGAACATGTATATTATTGTCCTTTATGAGAAAAAGACATGGTTAGGGGCCTTAGGTCAACTGCAGTGAGTGAATATTAAAGTAACTTATATTGTGAAGTATTTTTTATTTTATTATTAACAAAACTTTTTTACTTGTAAATAAGAATAAAGTAATATCCAAATACCTTTGGAGGGAAAAAGAAAAAAATGTTAATCACAAGTTTGATTTATTTTAAGTTAGCCAAGCTTGCTATCTTAAACTTTATCGAACCTTTTAGTTATCAAAATATATAACCTTTAAATTGAAGTCATTTAATTACTTCACTTTTCTACATAGATACTGAAAAAGTGAAGTCATTTTATCCGAGCATCAGAAATTGGAATTCTTTCTTCAATTTCCACAATGAAGGACGTATGTTTTAAGAGACTGTATATGGATGCAATGTGCCCATTTTGTTCAATCATTGTACAAATTGTCCTTTTGATCTTCTGTATCCTTTAACTGGATGCCTCATGATTATTGATAGTTTCCAACTGGATTGTGATATAGCAGTCCAGAATGAAAAGAAAACCAAATCACATTTTACTGAATTGAAGTATACTTTTCAGGATGAAGACGGCCTTCAAGTGATTTAGAATACAATCAAATCAAGTAGTCAAAAAACAAAAGAGATGCCAAAGCATCATTGGCGGAAATCATTTAAATCCTTTTTGGGGAGTCAATTTGACCCTGAAAGAGAAGAGGAGCTGAAAGGAAGCAAAGCAGGTACACAATCTCTGGAAATTAATGGTTAACTCTTCTAATATGCATTTGTTGAGTACATTGTTCAGTTCATAGAAACTAAAAACGTTTCACTATTACCATTCTGTTCCAAGGAGAGGACTGTATCTCCAGCTTTAGCTCTCTTTTTTCCCATAACCTCAATACACTGCCCTATCGATTGATATACTCAAATTTCCCTATTTTTTGCAGAGGTTGATGGCAAAGTGGAGGAGATCTTAAAGGCTCTTAATGAAGAAGATTACCAAGGGAAAGGGCCAGTTGTTGATCTGATCAAGGATTTCTACAATCACTACCAATCTCTTTATGATCGATACGATCATCTGACAGGAGAATTGCAGAAAAAAGTACATGATAAAAAAGGAAAGGATAGCTCCTTGTCCTCCAGCTCGGATTCTGATTCAGATGATTCTCCAAGGAAAAAGGGCCCCAAGAACGGTAAAATGAAAAATGATTCTGAGAATAATACAGTAATCAAGGAAGAACTCGAAACTACAATTCTGCAGGTTGCAGACTTGGAGAAGAAGCTGACAATGACGACAGAAGAAAAGGAAGCATTAAGTTTGGAATATCGAAGTGCTTTGAACAAAATTCAAGAAGCGGAGAAAATTATAGTGGATTTGAATGGTGAAACTGAAAAATTGAACGAAGAGAAATCAAGACTTTTCACCCAAAATGCTGATCTCAATATGAAACTGGAGAGTGCTGGTCAATTGAAACAAGAGAAAGAAGCACTACAGAGAGAACTAGAAGCATCGAAAGGGGAAATTTCTAACTTGAAGGAGCAACTTGAGTCAGCAGAGAAGGAATTAACTGAGCTACATCAGACTCAAAAGGCAACTGAAGAGGAGAAAAATACTCTATCCTCGAAAATTTTGCAACTTGGGGATGAGATAAAGAAGGTGCAAAACGAAACTCATTATCTGGTGACCGAATCAAGCCAGTTAAGGGAGAAACTGCAAGAGAGAGAAAGAGAGCTTTTGACTCACTTGGAGATGCATGAGACCCACAAAAATGAAACATCAGCTCGTGTGCGGGATTTGGAGCTGGAACTTGACTCATCGCATACTCAGAGAAGAGAAATAGTGAAACAGAAAGATGATGAGTTTTCTACTCTCATGAAAAAACTTGAGGATCAAGAGAGTGATTCACTATCTCGGATTAAAGACATGACGGACAAAATCGCCGATCTGAATATGAAACTTGAAAGTGCTGATAAGCTTCTAGCTGAACTGAATCAGAAATTGGAAGGGATGAATAGAGAGAGGGATGGATTAATCTTGGAGAAGGAGACAGCCATCAGTAGCACTAAAGAGGAGAAGAGAAATGGAGAAAACTTGAGATCCATTGCCGATCAATTGAAGCAAGAAAACGGAGCACTACAGCTAGAACTAGAAGCATTGAAAGTGGAATTTTTTACCTTAAAGGAGCAACTTGAATCAGCAGAGAAGGAAGTAGCCGAGCTATGTCAGACCCAAAAGGCAACTGAAGAGGAGAAAAATACTTTATCCTCGAAAATTTTGCAACTTGGGGATGAGATAAAGAAGGTGCAAAACGAAACTCAATATCTGGTGACCGAATCAAGCCAGTTAAGGGAGAAATTGCAAGGGAGAGAAAGAGAGCTTTTGACTCACTCGGAGATGCATGAGACCCACAAAAAAGAAACATCAGCTCGTGTGCGGGATTTGGAACTGGAACTTGACTCATTGCATACTCAGAGAAGAGAAATAGTGAAACAGAAAGATGATGAATTTTCTACTCTCATGAAAAAACTTGAGGATCAAGAGAGTGATTCACTATCTCGGATTAAAGACATGACGGACAAAAATGCTGATCTGAATATGAAACTGGAAAGTGCTGATAAGCTACTAGCTGAACTGAATCAGAAACTGGAAGAGATGAATAGAGAAAGGGATGGATTAATCTTGGAGAAGGAGACAGCCATCAGTAGCACTGAAGAGGAGAAGAGAAATGTGGAAAACTTGAGATCCATTGCCGATCAATTGAAGCAAGAGAAAGAAGCACTACAGCTAGAACTAGAAGCATTGAAGGTGGAATTTTCTACCTTAAAGGAACAACTTGAATCAGCAGAGAAGGAAGTTGCCGAGCTATGTCAGACCCAAAAGGGAACTGAAGACGAAAAAAATTCTCTAACCTCAAAAATTTTGCAACTCGAGGATGAGATTAAGAGGGCGCAAAACGAAATTCAAGATCTTGTGACCGAATCAAGCCAGTTAAGGGAGAAACTGGAAGAGAAAGAAAGAGAGCTTTTGACTTACTTGGAGATGCACGAGACTCACAAAAATGAAACATCAGCTCGTGTGCGGGATTTGCAACTGGAACTTGATTCATCACATACTCAGAGAAGAGAAATAGAGAAACAGAAAGATGATGAATTTTCTACTCTCCTGAAAAAACTTGAGGATCAAGAGAGTGATTCACTATCTCGGATTAAAGACATGACGGACAAAAACGCTGATCTGCATATGAAACTGGAAAGTGCTGATAAGCTACTAGCTGAACTGAATCAGAAACTGGAAGAGATGAATAGAGAGAGGGATGGCTTAATCTTGGAGAAGGAGACAGCCATCAGTAGCACTGAAGAGGAGAAGAGAAATGTGGAAAACTTGAGATCCATTGCCGATCAATTGAAGCAAGAGAAAGAAGCACTACAGCTGGAACTAGAAGCATTGAAGGTGGAATTTTCTACCTTAAAGGAGCAACTTGAATTAGCAGAGAAGGAAGTAACCGAGCTATGTCAGACCCAAAAGGCAACTGAAGACGAAAAAAATGCTCTAACCTCAAAAATTTTGCAACTGGAGGATGATATTAAGAAGGCGCAAAACGAAATTCAAGATCTTGTGACCGAATCAAGCCAGTTAAGGGAGAAACTGGAAGAGAAAGAAAGAGAGCTTCTGATTCACTTGGAGATCCATGAGACTCACAAAAATGAAACATCAGCCCTTGTGCGGGATTTGCAACTGGAACTTGATTCATCACATACTCAGAGAAGAGAAATAGAGAAACAGAAAGATGATGAATTTTCTACTCTCCTGAAAAAACTTGAGGATCAAGAGAGTGATTCACTATCTCGGATTAAAGACATGACGGACAAAAACGCTGATCTGCATATGAAACTGGAAAGTGCTGATAAGCTACTAGCTGAACTGAATCAGAAACTGGAAGAGATGAATAGAGAGAGGGATGGCTTAATCTTGGAGAAGGAGACAGCCATCAGTAGCACTGAAGAGGAGAAGAGAAATGTGGAAAACTTGAGATCCATTGCCGATCAATTGAAGCAAGAGAAAGAAGCACTACAGCTAGAACTAGAAGCATTGAAGGTGGAATTTTCTACCTTAAAGGAACAACTTGAATCAGCAGAGAAGGAAGTTGCCGAGCTATGTCAGACCCAAAAGGGAACTGAAGACGAAAAAAATTCTCTAACCTCAAAAATTTTGCAACTCGAGGATGAGATTAAGAGGGCGCAAAACGAAATTCAAGATCTTGTGACCGAATCAAGCCAGTTAAGGGAGAAACTGGAAGAGAAAGAAACAGAGCTTCTGACTCACTTGGAGATGCACGAGACTCACAAAAATGAAACATCAGCTCGTGTGCGGGATTTGCAACTGGAACTTGATTCATCACATACTCAGAGAAGAGAAATAGAGAAACAGAAAGATGATGAATTTTCTACTCTCCTGAAAAAACTTGAGGATCAAGAGAGTGATTCACTATCTCGGATTAAAGACATGACGGACAAAAACGCTGATCTGCATATGAAACTGGAAAGTGCTGATAAGCTACTAGCTGAACTGAATCAGAAACTGGAAGAGATGAATAGAGAGAGGGATGGCTTAATCTTGGAGAAGGAGACAGCCATCAGTAGCACTGAAGAGGAGAAGAGAAATGTGGAAAACTTGAGATCCATTGCCGATCAATTGAAGCAAGAGAAAGAAGCACTACAGCTAGAACTAGAAGCATTGAAGGTGGAATTTTCTACCTTAAAGGAACAACTTGAATCAGCAGAGAAGGAAGTTGCCGAGCTATGTCAGACCCAAAAGGGAACTGAAGACGAAAAAAATTCTCTAACCTCAAAAATTTTGCAACTCGAGGATGAGATTAAGAGGGCGCAAAACGAAATTCAAGATCTTGTGACCGAATCAAGCCAGTTAAGGGAGAAACTGGAAGAGAAAGAAACAGAGCTTCTGACTCACTTGGAGATGCACGAGACTCACAAAAATGAAACATCAGCTCGTGTGCGGGATTTGCAACTGGAACTTGATTCATCACATACTCAGAGAAGAGAAATAGAGAAACAGAAAGATGATGAATTTTCTACTCTCCTGAAAAAACTTGAGGATCAAGAGAGTGATTCACTATCTCGGATTAAAGACATGACGGACAAAAACGCTGATCTGCATATGAAACTGGAAAGTGCTGATAAGCTACTAGCTGAACTGAATCAGAAACTGGAAGAGATGAATAGAGAGAGGGATGGCTTAATCTTGGAGAAGGAGACAGCCATCAGTAGCACTGAAGAGGAGAAGAGAAATGTGGAAAACTTGAGATCCATTGCCGATCAATTGAAGCAAGAGAAAGAAGCACTACAGCTAGAACTAGAAGCATTGAAGGTGGAATTTTCTACCTTAAAGGAACAACTTGAATCAGCAGAGAAGGAAGTTGCCGAGCTATGTCAGACCCAAAAGGGAACTGAAGACGAAAAAAATTCTCTAACCTCAAAAATTTTGCAACTCGAGGATGAGATTAAGAGGGCGCAAAACGAAATTCAAGATCTTGTGACCGAATCAAGCCAGTTAAGGGAGAAACTGGAAGAGAAAGAAAGAGAGCTTCGGACTCACTTGGAGATGCACGAGACTCACAAAAATGAAACATCAGCTCGTGTGCGGGATTTGGAACTGGAACTTGATTCATCACATAATCAGAGAAGAGAAATAGAGAAACAGAAAGATGATGAATTTTCTACTCTCCTGAAAAAACTTGAGGATCAAGAGAGTGATTCACTATCTCGGATTAAAGACATGACGGACAAAAACGCTGATCTGAATATGAAACTGGAAAGTGCTGATAAGCTACTAGCTGAACTGGATCAGAAACTGGAAGAGATGAATAGAGAGAGGGATGGCTTAATCTTGGAGAAGGAGACAGCCATCAGTAGCACTGAAGAGGAGAAGAGAAATGCGGAAAACTTGAGATCCATTGCCGATCAATTGAAGCAAGAGAAAGAAGCACTACAGCTGGAACTAGAAGCATTGAAGGTGGAATTTTCTACCTTAAAGGAGCAACTTGAATTAGCAGAGAAGGAAGTAGCCGAGCTATGTCAGACCCAAAAGGCAACTGAAGACGAAAAAAATGCTCTAACCTCAAAAATTTTGCAACTGGAGGATGAGATTAAGAAGGTGCAAAACGAAATTCAACATCTTGTGACCGAATCAAGCCAGTTAAGGGAGAAACTGCAAGAGAAAGAAAGAGAGCTTTTGACTCACTTGGAGATGCATGAGACCCACAAAAATGAAACATCAGCTCGTGTGCGGGATTTGGAACTGGAACTTGACTCATCGCATACTCAGAGAAGAGAAATAGTGAAACAGAAAGATGATGAGTTTTCTACTCTCATGAAAAAACTTGAGGATCAAGAGAGTGATTCACTATCTCGGATTAAAGACATGACGGACAAAATCGCCGATCTGAATATGAAACGTGAAAGTGCTGATAAGCTACTAGCTGAACTGAATCAGAAATTGGAAGGGATGAATAGAGAGAGGGATGGATTAATCTTGGAGAAGGAGACAGCCATCAGTAGCACTGAAGAGGAGAAGAGAAATGCGGAAAACTTGAGATCCATTGCCGATCAATTGAAGCAAGAGAAAGAAGCACTACAGCTAGAACTAGAAGCATTGAAGGTGGAATTTTCTACCTTAAAGGAACAACTTGAATCAGCAGAGAAGGAAGTAGCCGAGCTATGTCTGACCCAAAAGGCAACTGAAGAGGAAAAAAATGCTCTATCCTCAAATATTTTGCAACTGGAGGATGAGATAAAGATGGTGCAAAACGAAATTGAAGATCTTGTGACCGAATCAAGCCAGTTAAAGGAGAAATTGGATGAGAAAGAGAGCGTGCTTGTGGCTCAATTGGAGATGCATGAGGCCGAAAAAAATGAAACATCAGCTCGTATGCGGGATTTGGAACTGGAACTCGATTCATCACATGCCCAGAGAAGAGAAATAGAGAAACATAAAGATGATGAATTTTCCACTCTCCTGAAAAAACTTGAGGATCACGAGAGCGATTCATCATCTCGGATTAATGACCTGACAGCACAGATCAACAATATGCTACTTGAAGTGGAAGCTTTACGCATCAATAAAGGCGAGTTAGAAGAACAACTAGTAAATAAAGACAATAAGGCATCAACTCAAGTCAAAGACTTGACAGATCAGGTCAATGCGAAGCAACAGGAACTGGAATCTCTACTCATCCAAAAGACTGAAACAGAAACACAACTGGAGAAAAAGATTCAAGAAATTTCTGACCTCCTAATTCAGATTGAGACTTTAAAAGAGGAGTTGGCTAACAAGAACTCAGAACAACAGAAGACATTTGAAGAAAAAGAGAGTCTTGTATTACAGGAAAAGGGTCTGGAATTGAAGCTTAACTCTTTACGTGACATAAAAATTGAATTGGAGGAGCAGCTTAGATGCAAAAGCCAGGATATTTCAGAACTCCAAATTCTGGTAGAGACTTTAAACGGGGAGTTTGGAAACAAAATTGCAGAGCAGCAGAAACTACTGGAAGAGAGAGATAATTTTGTGTTGCGAATAAAAGACTTGGAACTGGAGCTGAACTCTTTAAGCAACCTGAAAAATGAATTAGAAGAGCAGCTGAAAAGCAAAAACAAGGACTTTGTTCAGTTGCAACAAGAAACAGAAAGCCTGCAAGTTAAAACTTCAGAGATGGAGAGGAAATTAAAAGAGAAAGAGGATGAACTCTCCACTGTACATAAGCAATCTGAAGATAGAGAGAGTGAAGCGTCTGCTCAAATCATGGCTTTGACTGCGGAAATAAGAAATTTCCAAGAGCAATTGGGTCTTTTGAGAGCACAGAAAAGTGAAGGAGATTCCATTCTTGAGAAAAGAAATGGAGAAATATCAGAATTTCTTATTCTGATAGAAAGGCTAAAAGAGGAATTATCAAGCAAAACTTTGGATGGACAGAGAATACAGGAAGAAAAGGAGGGCCTGGAAAGAAATATTTCTGAATTGGAGAAAACGCTAAAAGAGAGAGTCGATGAAGTCATTTCTGTCGAGAAAAAAATGGAGGAGGTACAGAATGAAGCGTCCGCTGAAATTGCAGAATTAACAGAACAGGTTAACCATTTGCAACAGCAGATAGACGCACTGCTGTTGGATAAAAGCCAGTTGGAGGAGCTAACAGAAAGAGGTAAACAAGAGTCTATGGAAAATTTGGCTCAAGCCGAGAATCAGACAAATGAATTAGTAAAGAAGATCGCAGACCAGGATAGAGCGCTGAAAGAACAAGAAGGTGCATTAATCCAATTAAGTGAAGAGCACAAAAAACTCGAGGGTCAGTTTCAAATCTGTGAGGAAAATCTCAAATCTGCAGAGACGAAAATAGAAGAGATGACAGAACAGTTCCACGAGGATATCGATACCAAAAATCAGAAAGTTGACGAATTGGAAGAAAACATTGAAGATCTGAAAAGAGATCTGGAGATGAAAGAAGATGAACTTGCTACATTGGTAGAGAATGTACGAAATACTGAAGTCAAGCTCCGGTTAACAAATCAAAAGCTCCGAATCACAGAACAGTTGCTGACTGAGAAGGAAGAGGAGCGGAGGAGCAAAATAGAGAAGTTGCTGCAAGAACAAAGCGTGCTTGAGGAGAGAATTGTGTCATTGTCTGGAACACTTGCTAGTTACAAAGAGGCTCAAATGAAAATCGTAACGGATGTATCGGAGAGAGTAAATGAAACTTTGACGGGATTTGATACATTTAGCGTTAAGTTTGAGGAAGATTACGGTCACTTAGAGTCTAGAATTTATGAAATCGTGAATGAGCTTAAGGTTGCAGCTAACTGGATAAAAGAGAGCAAGGCTGAGAAAGACGAGCTAAAGAAGGAAATCGCCAACTTAGTTCAGCAACTGAAAAATGAGAAAGAACTACATTTGCTTTTGAGAGAGAAGGTTGGAGAACTTGAGACAACATTGCAGGCGGCCAAAGATGAGAAGGAAAATTTGAAGAAAAAGGTAACAGAACAAGAAGAAAAGTTGGGAGAGCTGGAGAAAATGGTACAAGAAAGGGATGAAAAGATGAATGAGAAAGATCAGGGATTCTTGAGCCTAAGTGAGGAGAAAAAGATGGCAATAAGACAACTCTGTATTTGGATTGATTATCACCGCAATCGCTATGATGATCTGAAAGAAATGATCACAAAGTCGACTGGTGGAAGAAGGCAGATAGCAACATAATGCTTGTTTGCGGTATGTAGTATTAGATCATCTGGACAGTACAAGATTTTAGCCTCGCTTAATACCATCCAATATTGTCTAATATACCTTACCAAACATGCCATTAAAGTTGGATATGAAACTGAAATCTTCTAGCAGTTTTCCGAGGCATAGCAGAAGAACAGAACCATGGAACCCTTACCTATGGAAATTTTCTGGAAACAGATTCGAGACTCTAAACGGGGATGTCGTCGATTGAATGGTGACAATATAATCGTGGTAAGATAATCCCGCTCACTTTTATTTAGGCGTGTTTGGTTTATACATTTAGCTTGGATTATGACTGTTTGGTATATTTGTTGAATAAGGTAACTCCTGAATTTCTCAGGATATTGTAAATATGTGCTGGCTGATATAATCAGTGAGCAGATTATACCATTTACAGGGTGTATAGAACATAATTGCAATTTGTTTTGGTTGTGCCTTTATTTAATTTAATCAATTGTTGAATTATGTAAACATTATTAGGAATTTTTGTATTGCAATTCTGTAACAATGATTGTGGCTTGATTTTAATCCTATTGATTTGTTTTTATTCCCCCTGTAGCACTTCATAAGATATGACTCGATGAAGAAATGCGTAACAGTATGATCTTTAGAGATTGCATTAGACGGCCTTTAGTGACATTTAAAAGCGTGAAACTTGAATCTTAAACCTTTGCCTACTCTTAACCATCTTAAATCACATTATTACTCAAGCTTTAGAAAAGTGGACAATTTATTTGTTTTTGATTCATAACTTATTTGTTTTTGATTCATATGCATCAGCAAGTTATTCGATATAAGGACACAACTTGGAGAAAAAAAGGCCTGTATATTGTGATTCCTAAACAATTTTGAAATTGTTATAAAAAGAGAGAAAAATATAAGAGAATAAGAGAAGTCAATAAACTTGTGTGTATTATAATGAGAACCAAAACCCTATATTTATAGGGAATGAAAAGGGATACATATGGTAATAATATCTAGGGCTGTAGGGGTACAAGTGTCATTCACATTAAACCTTAATTTACTTTCCTTTTACAACACTTCCCATTGAATGACACATTACAAAATATCTGTCTCGTTAAAACCTTGTTTGATAAAAATCCAATTGGACAAAAAAAAATTAAAACGAAGGAAAAATGTACAGTTATTTTGGAGTATTAAAGATAAATGCTGCCTTATTAAAACCTTGTTAGGAAAACTCAGTGGGATAAAACCTAAGCGAAGGAAAAATAGTACAGCTACTCCCCATGATGTTGATCACTGAAAATCTTTGAGTCGATGCATTCCAATCCCGTGAACCAATTTCTTGAATGTAGATGTTGACAGTGTTTTTGTAAATAAATCAGTCAAATTTTCACTGAACGAATTTGTTAAATCTCGATATCGCCATTCTTCTTAAGCTCGTGTGTATGAAAGAATTTTGGAGAAATATGTTTCGTCCTATCACCTTTGATATAACTTCCTTTGAGTTGTGCAATACAAGCAACATTATTTTCATACAAAATTGTTGGACTATCTTTTGTTGAAATTAATCTGCATGATACTTGGATATGATTGGTCATGTTCCTCAACCATACACATTCTCGGCCTGCTTCATGGATTGCAATAATTTCAGAATGATTTGAGGA